AAAAAAAAAAAAAAAAAAAAAAAAAAAAAAAATTAATTGTAGATATGCAGAAAAATACTACAAGAAAAAATCTGCCATGGAAGATGGTCCACAAAATTTACAACAATTAAGTTGTTCGTTGTTTTTTATTGATATCACATACGATATATCCAAAAAGAAAAAAAAAGTCACCAGTATCAACCAATGGTATCTTTGTTTCCGAAAATTTCAATTTCGCCCAAAAAATACTATAGTTTCAATAACAGTACGAATTAGATGAATAATTAAAAACAAAATATTATCAATTAAATATCACAAAAAATTCTGCTTTTATCTTCTCAAACAAACTTCAGCAAGTCAGTGAACTGCTTTAACAAAACCAATATCTCGCTGATTTAAACTCTTCAAGTTTTTATGCCATCAAAAAAACTGAACACACTAACCTAACACTAACAGTATAACAAATACTTTTTGCACTTATATAATTCTCTCTTACGGTTCAACAATTATTAAAAAAAAAACGTTGAGAAAATAACACCAACTGAATGAAGTCAACAGCAAAAGTTTTGCAATTTTTTCAACTTTTCTTGGCCCATTTTAACTGAGCAACATCTTATAAACAAAAGTTCATTTGCAGTTCTACTGGCAGGTATGATGAATAAGTGGTACTGTTTGGAATATTTCCGGTCTAATGATTTTAACGATTGAAACTTTAAAGCAAAAAAAAAAAAAAAAATGAAAGACCTTATACGAATTCCCTATGCATAACATCGACTAGCAATCCCTTCTGCAACTATTTATAACTGAAATAAATTTCACTAAGCAATTGTGGTCAACTGTGAAAAAAGAATCCAAATTATCCAAATTCCGGTTACAAATCCAATAAAAAATAATCTCAATTTTAAGAAGTAAAATTTTTTTCCATTCAAAGCACTAAAAAGTTACAGATCGATAAAAAGAGATGGTGCAGAGAACGACACTGAAACATACTACCAAACTGTGTTAACCTTGACCTGAACCGACACCACACTTTAAGTCCCAAGTCCAAGTGCAAATACTGCTTCTTGTAGGCATTTGAACAATATATTAAAAACGTATTTTTCCCTTGACTTTCTTCCCTTACACAATTTTTCTTATCATAAAAAATTGCTTCAAGCATCAGAACTTACCAACAGTTTGACAAAATTCAAGATTTTCCTCCGCTGTCGAGCACTTTTTTGTACAGCCAAAAAAAAAAAACCAAATCTGATCTTAATCAGAATAATGAGAATACTTATTACTGCAATAAAATTCTTTCGCTCAAAATAATGCAATACCAGCAACAAGCAAGCAAACTAACCCATTACAAACTTTCTCAAACATAACCTTCCTAAGCATTTGCAAAATTCAAAACTTCTATTCCCTGCCCAGCAAACAATACTGTTGCAACACAACGTCAAATGTGGAAACCCACTCAACCAAAAGTACTTGCAAAAAGCAAACGGTATTTGAAACATAACCAAACGTACATCGAACATCCCTAACATTACTTTACAGCTTGTGCAGCTCAAAGACAATAACCGTGAAAATAATTGTACCATTAAATTCTTTAGCATTCATCACCCAAACAGAATTGAAAAAATTCACCACACCTCGTTACAAAATATCGTTGAATGATTTCGTCCACTACCCCCACCGTAATTCCCTTTAACAGAAGTTTCACCGAATACAAAGCTTCAGCAAATAAGTTATACAAAGCATTGTAGATGTCGCAAAAAATGAAACAATATCAAAAATTTACTAGACATTTTCCTTTGATCGGACTATCTATCCAAAAAATTCAACAGCCACTTCCAAACTCCAATGACCGAAACAAAAATCAACAAGCAAAAAGAAAGCAAAAGGATACAGCATGTCATACAGCAAACAACCAAATAAATCAGAAAAAATACTCCACTATCCTTACCACAAATCACCCATGAAAATGTTCTTTGAAGGCTAAGAAGATCCTTATCTTTCCAACATCACAAAACACTAACCAATT